GAAAAGAAAAGAAACCTGAAGCTTCAGGCTGCCGCGGCTACCCGATGAACGGTGCGGCAGATGGTACCTTCAGTACACGCGAGTCGAGTTCGGGTCTGATGGCGATACCGCCTGTACTCGCCCTACCTGCCGTTCGAGGCACGATAGGGCGATGTCGAGAGGGTGGCGATACCGCCTGCACTCGCCGTAGACCGCCGGTTGAGGCGAACTAAGGCGACGTCGAGAGAGAAAAAGAGACGAGACAAGAGAAAAGACGATGAGTGCAGCAGATGCGATTAGCCGATGCCAGCGAAGCAAGTAAATACAGGCGGTTCAAACTCCGACAAGCTCCGACTCGAGATAAGATAAGATAATCAACAACTGAAGGCTGCGAAATTTATTCTACATCTAAAATACTCCCTAGCGGGAAAATGTGTGTTACAAATCCCCCCCAATTTCGCAGTCTTTGGTTGCATGACTTAGATGAAGTGCATACAACCATCAACCACAAACTTGGAGTGAAATGGGGTGAAGGGATATGGAAATGAAAGGGTCTCTTGATGTGATGAAAGATAGAGCCCAAGGAAATGAGGGAAGATAGAGACAATGAATGCAAGGAAAATCTCAAGGCTACCAACCGCAAGTCAGACTCAAAAGAAATGGACATATATGAACAAGAAATAAACCAAACTCAACACCCCTTCCCTAGGCTTCAACACAACGGTTCCTTCTCAGCTCAAGGCCAATGATACCCATCCAACATGGCCGCACCATCCTCCTATAAGGATCATAAGGTGAAACATCTAGTCAACACCTCGACTCTAGGAATGCCCAGCCGGCCCTACCGGACCTGGTACCCCCCTAAGAGAATTATAAGAAGGTAGTGATGTGATGAAGCAAAGAAAAGAGAGTCAGGCTTGACTTTGTTCTTATTGGCATACGTCCTCTTCAAAAGAGAATACTTGGAGAAGAAAGCTAGGAGAAGTTGAAGAAAATAAGGTCCACTTCCCCCCCAGACTTGTATTGCGAAGTGAAGAACGGTAAAATCCCAGGAAGCAAGTGACACCAAGGAAAACCTGTAACAAGCCGCGGGCGCCGCTGACAAGTCATAGGAGGTTCAAGGACTATGCAAGAAAAATAATACAAAGTCGAAAGTGAAATATGAACTGAAAAATGAAACCTTTCCCCCCCCAGACTTGTACTGCGTAGTGCACCACGGTTGAACCAATGAAAGCGGACAAAGCCTGATGGATGCCTATGACAAGCCGCGGGCGCCGCTGACAAGTCATAAGGGCTGAAAGGTTTATGGAAGAAAAGAAAAAGATAAAGCGATCACAGGTGGAAGAATGAAAGAAAAATTTTGGCAAAAATTTTCAGGTGGAAAATTAGGAAAGTGTTCATCTCCAAGGGAGGATGAGTCACAGGCTGAGATAATACTTAACAGGCTAAAGGTACGCACTGACAGCTTACGCAGGTCAGAGTGCCGTCCTATGTCCTGTCAGCTCCATACGATGGAGGTATCCACAATATATTCAATGCTCCGGCACATCTCCATAAACACTCCGGAACACCTTCATCTCCACTCCGATACTCCTTCACTACACTTCGGCACACTTCCGATCCACTACTGTGTACCTTCATTGCACTCCGGCACACCTCCATTACCCTCCGGCATACCTCCGTTTCACTCCAGCATACCTCCATTCCGCTCCGGCATTCCTCCATATCCACTACGTCATGCCTCCGAGGCTATCCCTATCCATCCCCCCCCCCAGCTACATGTCCACGATTGCTCATAGCTGAGTGGGCTGGAGCTGGAACCCCTGACACCAGTCCTTATACTATACAGACTGTTCCCCCCCATCATATCATCGTCCGACTGCGGAATAACAAAGTTACCAGGATAACCACCATGGCAGAAAGGAACGAGTGGATAGGAGAGGAGTTGATGGCACAATGAGAATTTACATCGCGGGCGCCGCAGATGAAATATACAAGCCAGAGAATATTCTCCCCCCCATTCAGGTAAGCCAGACCTGCCAAGCAGTCTGTCCCATCTCGAACCATGAAACATCAGAGATGGACTCAGCCAAAAATAAACGGGACGGGTGGGTGGGAAAAAATTAATTCAATGGAAGATATACAATATCCGCATCGCGGGCGCCGCAGATGAGGTATGTATAGGAAAGTAGCATATATGTAGTGGCCATGACTGATTAATGGTGGAGTAGGATATGAGAGTCATCGTATTTACCACATCCGGAACGGCGTAAGGGTAGATCGCCATCCCTGAAAGGGAAAAAGAACAAGGATTTGGACAAAAATGAACGAAGATGACGACCACATAACGCAAGTAACGGGTAGTGGCATCGGGACACAAAGGAAGATCGCACGATGTGTCGCGGGCGCCGCTGACAAGTCGTACGAAGCCTCCAAGCTGCGGGTAATGAAAAGTGAAAATGATATGAACAAATGTACCAGCGCACGAAGGTATTATAGGAGATCAAGATTCAACGACTGATGCGCATTGCCAAGACACGAAAGGGAAATCACGCAATCGTGTCACGGGCGCCACTGACCAATCACGCCAACTCTCCAGAGGAGAAGGAAGCAAAGACAAAATAGAACAATGCAATCGTGTGGAAAAGTGAAACATATAAACACTCAAAGTGCCGTGTGGCCATTTTGGGCCACATAGTGCCACACGAGGGCAGCTCACGCGTGAGCTGGACCCACGACGGCATGTCCGACCGACACCGAGTGGAGAAATGATACCAAGGATTATACAGCGCACGACGATTGATAAAACCGCGCACGACGCGCATCAACTTGGGCTAGCTGGTGATATGCAAGAGTGGCGGCGTATGGATCTGACAACGTGCAGTGTCGGAAAGCGCGTTGCCGTGACACAAACGAGAGATCGCACGATTATGCCGCGGGCGCCGCTGACACATCGTGCGAGCTCGAGAGCGAAGCGGGGACGAGGAAGAGGACAGAAATAAACGAAAAAGAAATGATATAGAATCAAAAACATACAAGCACCCGAAGGTGCAGGTCCAAAATCCCAATGGTCCGCCTGAGGTCCACGCCCTCCCTCCAAGGATCTCTCGCCAGATGCTGGAACTGGTGGTGACTGAAAGACGAGGAGGACCGAGACTGGTGAGGGAGACGCGAAGCGGCCGGACAAGGGAGACGATGTCGCCACAGGAGTTGGCGGAAGGAACAACCGACACACGTTATTGATGAACGCGTAGACGATAGCGTCTCCATCATCGTGGCTGGAAATTGCAGCTGGTGGGCGAGAGCGAGAGTGCAAAAGGAGCCGACAGTGAAATCAAACGGCGAATGAGCCAAGCGATACGCGTCGTTGAGGAACGTATCGCTGTAGCACGAACGTGCCGCGGGCGCCGCTGACAGATCGCGCGAGCTCGAGAATGGAGGAAAGAGGAAAGGGACCGAAATTATGAAAGAAAAGAACGAAACAAATGAACAATATGAAACAAAAATATCCAAACACCCGAAGGTGCTGGGTCCCCAATCCCTAGGATCCACTCGAGGGCCACACCATCCCTCGAAGGAGGGAGCGTGGGCGAGATCGCTTCGACCGGCGCCTAGCACCATCGCCACCTCTAAAGCGAGTTCGATTGTGCAGGCAACGAGAGAGGGTGCCAAAGTGGTGCGCGCCGGTGGGAGCGATGGGGACAGCCAGCGCGGAGGAGAGACGCTGGTGGTACGAAAGAACAAGGGTCCGAGGGTAGGAGCGAGCGGCGAGGGAACCAATGGACGCGTTGCTGGGAAACGCACCACCGTGACACGAAGGAGGACCATGTGGTCGTGTCGCGGGCGCCGCTGACACTTCCTGTGGGTCCTCGAGGATGTGAAGGGAGAAGAAAAAGAACAAAACAATGTACAAGAAAAAGTTGTATAAACAAAATGTACAAGTACCTAAAGGTACCGGGTCCCGAATCCCGACGACTCTACCTGAGGGCCACACCATCCCTCCAAAGCACCCTCCTCCCCCTTCTCCAAGCTTCCTAGATGCGCTCTCTTGCATTGGCAGGCGCTCCGTCGAACGCGATTCCGATCGCGCTTCGAGATGACCACTGAGGGAGGAGGCGATGAGGGAGGAGTCACCGACGCGACCTTCGAATGGTAGGTGAGCTGCGTCCTTGTGCTACGAGGGGGGTCCGATCGCGTTCGAAATGACCATGGAGGGGAAATCGCCAAGTGAGGGCGCCGAGAGAAGGACGAACGAGGAAGAGAAGAGCGAGCGGGCGAAGGGGACGACGATGCGATAGTGAAGGTGATGATGGTCAGGAAGGACGAGAAGAACGACGTGCAACGCGCGTCGTCGGTGTCGTCGATGGGCGCCTAAACGGGACGCGTCATCGACGGCGCCTAACATCGTCGTCGTCGTGCCCAATCGCGAAGGCGTTGCGCTTGAGACAGCGTAGATGGTGCAGAGCGAACGAGCGACGTGTGATGCGCGTTGCACGTTGTCGAACGCATTGACGGTGCCTAAACGGGACGCGTCATCGACGGTGTCTACCGTCGACGTTGACGTCGTCTCGGCTCAACTGCAGGACGTCGAGCACGGGCGATAGAAGGGAGTACCCCTGGAAGTGCCCGAAGGCAGATGGTGTCGGTCCCGTGGGCGTGAGTTTTGGACACAGCGGGGCTCATTATGCACGGCGAGCTCGACTCCGCCAACGAAACCAACGCTGACACGTCGCGGGCGCCGCAGACGTGTCGGGGAAGGAAGGCGCCGTTGTACGAGATGGAATAACATGGTGAGCCCGTCGTTTCGACTAGCTGGACTTCACGCTTAACGAGGCCGGATACGACACGTCGCGGGGACCGCAGGCGTGCAGGGAACGAGTGTCGTGTATCCGAACGAGGAGATGGGTGCCATAGGTTCGGATTCATGGACAAAACGCAGAGCAATGAGCTGACACGAGTGTACGAACAATCACGCCGCGGGCGCCGCTGACGTTTTGAACGAGCACTCGGAGATGTTGGGAGAGAGAGAAGGGAGAAAACGATTTTATTGAAACATACGCGGGCCTTGTACGCAACCCTTCTCTCAGCTCACAGCTTAATGAACCATCCACTCCCGTTCCGACCCTCCAACATCCTGCGAAAGCCGTGGCGCGTAGCTTGAGCGCGCTTGAGGTCGACGTTGGCCAGTTGAGGGTGAACGCGAAGGTCGGATGGAAATGGAACGACGCGTTAACGCGAGACGTCGTAGAACGTCGAGGGAACGCGTTGAGCGCGTGAGATGAGCAAAGTGTCGAAGAGGAAACGACGCGCCGGAACGACGTGTCGCGAGCGTCGCTGACAACGTTGAACCGGCGCTCGAGTGAGACCAAACGGAATAGCTACCAGGGTTCCGGATATGTCCACCTTTGAGACACCTATTTCGTACGGTGGTCTCAAAAGCCGGAACCCCACCTGGGCGCGGTCTCGAAAGATAATAGAAAGGCATAAAAGGGTCGTAAGGGTCATAGAGCCCACGTGTACTAACGTGGGCCTGAGCCCTGCGCGACCATCGAGAGCGTCTCGGATGGGTCGGCAGGGCGAGGCCGCATATGATATGGTAGAAAAGAAGAAAGAAAAAGAAAAGAAAAGAAACCTGAAGCTTCAGGCTGCCGCGGCTACCCGATGAACGGTGCGGCAGATGGTACCTTCAGTACACGCGAGTCGAGTTCGGGTCTGATGGCGATACCGCCTGTACTCGCCCTACCTGCCGTTCGAGGCACGATAGGGCGATGTCGAGAGGGTGGGCGATACCGCCTGCACTCGCCGTAGACCGCCGGTTGAGGCGAACTAAGGCGACGTCGAGAG